TATATATATATATGTATATATGTATATATGTATATGTATATAAACTGGACCACTCTGTTTAATTACACCTCTTATCAATGTACATATAAGAATAAGAAAAATTGAAATTAATGTGTTTTGGAAATTTATGACTTCGTTTGCTTGTGACTTTCAATTTCATATTTCTTGCATTGTCAAAAAGAAGCATGAGTATACAAACTCTTCGGATGAGCGCAAGATAGAATTCCTGAGGACATTCGGCATTGATCCCTGGACGCGCAAGCGCCGACCGTATCTTCACCTACTTCCATTACTCTCGATCGTCGTAGAATCCGCGAAAATCCGGAACGTAACGCGGTCGTCTATTTTCGTTTATCTGAAGAGGCAGCCGCCTCCCGCGACGCTGCTGATCTTAGCCAAGGTAAGAAAACCGTTCACGAAATGACTCACTACAAATTTCGCGACAAAACAGATGCATTCGGCATTTAGAAGCTCACTGTTTAGTGCGATAGCTCGCGAAGGATAATCCCTCGATAAAAGCATTATTTTTGGTAGCAAAATGCAAAACTAGTTCTACGATTTTAATTAAGATTACTGCGATGCTGAAGTAATCGTTCTATATGGGCGTGATCGTACATTAGTAGCTATGTTGATGTATTATAATTTGTAGCAATATATTTATAGTCAATAAAATTAAATATTATCATGAATGTACCAGTTTCGAGATATAATTATGTTCGAATGATATAAGATTTTATATTTTTTTTTTCTAAAATTAGCAAAAATTAGCAAAAATAAAAATCTTAATTTATAATACATTAATACAATACAAAAACTAATATTTTTTTAATTAATAAAATTAATTATCTATATTTATAAAATTAATTATATATGTATGTATCTATTATATAATTCTATTTTTTAAATATCTATATTCATAATTTATTTATCATCTGATTATTCTACATACACTCTTATGACGATCTAACATTTAATTTTTAGCAGGTGAACAAAAGAACGTTCGATGTCGGCTCTTCTAGATGTATGCGGAAATGATACTGGGTCGCCATCGATATCGAAGGCAGATGATAATCTGTCCAATAGCGATGGGCCTCTGATTAAAGGCATTATCCGCCAAAATAGTTGCGGCAGTATGCATACGAGGTAAATAAGAAAATAATCATTATTATAACAATAATTCCTATCCAATGAAAATTCTAAAGGAAAATATTTATAATAAAATAAGTCAATCGTTAATATTTTTCTTTAGAAAGATTTATTTGATGACGCATGTGTGTCAATTGTTTTACTTACTAATGTACGGACAAACTTTGTTTATATTATCTTAATTAGAAACGAAAGGAATAATCAGAATTACGAAATGATTAAATATAATTAATATAAATATAGTCAACAATTGATATAATCCAAGCTAGATTAAATTAATATTTCGGATGATTAATTTTCTGCTTGGATAATGTTAATAGGACAATCGCTTCTTCGTATGGCATGTCGTCGACGAGTGAAAAATCTACTAAAAGACGTTATTGTCTCTGGATGTTGACTTTGGTCCTGGCAATAATCGGTCTCTGTAATCTTTTTCTAAACATTACTGTCATCGCTGTTTTGCGCATAAGTCAAGGAATGGAAGCTATAG